TTTACTGGATGTCCCACCTTGTTGACTGTACTGAATGCAGTCTGCCTTGAGTCTCCATGTGAAAGGCAAACTCATGTAAATATAAAAATAAGAAATGTACGAATTTTTAAGTACCTTGGAAACCATTTCGCGTGCTCCACCCATGGATCGTCCCCAGACTCCCAGCACCTGAGTCCACCATCACAGCAGAAACATTTGACGTCGTCATTGCAACCTTTAAAATGAAAAACAGATACAAAAAAGGAGTTAAATTAACCAGACACCCTGAGAAGTCACTGATTAAATCTGAGAATTTCCCAGAGCCCAAGTCATTTTAAAAAAAAAGATCCAAGTTCTCTTGCCTACGTAATAGAAGCCGGCGTCTGCAAGCTGCTGTGGCCGAACTGGAATCGTAATTGGCCAGCTGGTGAAGGTGCTGACTCGGGCACTGTGGGTTTGCATTCTCAGGTTTGCAACTGAGAAACTGGGCAGGTCTCCATACAGATTTTGCACAAAAGGGCAGTTGGGAAAGTGCCTCCGATGTTCAGACATGGCGCTATCCTCTGGGTCCCAGTTGCCCAACTGGCCGCCGCAGGCAAAACAAGCTACCCTATCTGCAGGGCCAACATAGTAAAACCCAGCTCTGGCCAGCTCAGACGGTGCCAAAAACGTCAAGGGCCATGCCTGGAAAGTTCGCTGCCTGGCTTCTTCTGTCTTCATGGAGCGATTGAAAGATTTGGGTCTGAAATAGGACAGGTCTTCCACGGCCCTGGATGCTACTGGATCCTGGGGGAAGCTTGCATAGTGTCCGCTGAAATAGCCCCCTTGATCCAAACTGGGCGCTTTCCTTTCAACGTTCATCTTGGCGCCCATCGACGTAACTGGAGGCGAGAAGGCAGAATGGAACGAGGAACCGAGACTGTTGGCTGAACCCAGGCTCTGAAGAAAGCTGCAGCTCGGGTAGAGTTGCTTGTGCTTGTCCAAAGCACTGTCTCCTTTCTTCCAGTTATCCAACATCAAACCGCAGCTGAAACACTTCACTTTGTCTTTCAGGCCGGTGTAATAGAAACCCGCACGGGCAAGACTCCTTTCTGACACTGGAACGTTCAGGGGGAAAGTCGAGAAGGTGGAGATCCTGTAGAGTTCACATGTTAAATCATACCGCAGATCGCTCTCGTTGCTGCTGCTGCT